CACTAGTGTACTTCCAGAGTTAGATCATGAGCTGAATTTTTCAAACCACGTTTTCGATTTCCTGTTGACTAGGAAACCGGACCTAAAGTCGCACTCTGCAACTGCGTTACAAGTAATAACTCCATCTCAGATGCGATGAATAGGTCTGTAGCCGCATATAGCGCGCCATCTCGTTGCCGAGAAATGCTTGGTAAGAACGCCCACTGATTTGTGACCAACATTTGGCCACACCTTTTTCAGTGGGGCTCCACCTACAGCATGCATGTGTCCGCTTCCATTGCTAGTGCGATTTTGTACGATATCACCGGCGGTTGCCCCGTCTTTCGTTCGCAGCCCTGAGCGTCTCTGCGTCTATACTCGCCGCATACTGTCCCAGTGATGTAGTTCAACCAAGCCTCGTTTGGGGCGTTTTCGACTGGTTCTTTAGCTTTCTTGTGAGTCAATTTTCACTCACTAACTGATAATCTATTTCTATTATCCCTACTTTGCAGTCGTGAAATGTGTACTTTGATATGCAGCTAACTGAGATTCATTCTTGGACTTCTTGTTTTCCAGGTTCAATGAAGCGACCATTGGGATTGACAGGCGTGTGCTTCCAACTGACCTTCTACAATCTAAATACGTTCATCTCATCGAGAAATGTCGGTCAACAACTCCTGAGGAAGCTCTGAAGGAAACTGAGAAGATGTGAGTTTCGTTAATGAACTTCGTTTTCGGCACTTTTTTTCGTTTACTGTCCCCTTGTTGAAATCAGGGTGGACGTTCATCGAACTACCCTTCTTTAGCCGTGAATGTAGCCAAACCTTCGAAGCCATTCTGCATTTGCCTTAGTCCCTTTTGTTAGTTTATGTTCACTAACAGGTCTTACTTTGGTCAGACCTGTGAACTCCTATGAAGCTGCGAGATTGTGCGAGTGAGCCACCTTGGTCACGAACTGGCAGATCTTTAGAAGGTGACTTAACAGTTCAGTTGAGCACAATTCGGTGCCCCCACTGAGTCGAAGTGCACCTTGGTTTGACCTCCATAAACAACATTATCACTATCATTATTTGTCTGGCGCAAGCGCTATGGGCACAGGTGCCAAGTCCGAGTCTGGGCGACGGCGCCTGTAGTGCAGTTTGACGCTCGACGATCTGATATTCATAATCAAGGAATCTCACTCACTGTGCGATCAAGTTTTCAGCGACTTTTGCTGTTTGAGGTGAGTTGGTGTCAATCATTAGCGCGCCCGGCATGTGTTTCCGGCCGAACGATTAGTGCTCAAAGGGTCAGACTAGCCGCAGAGATAAATTTCGTAACGAATAACCCTCGAGAAAAACTTGGCACAAACCGATTTGGTGGGGACGGGAGGGCGGCAAGTGATGCTTCGCGAAGCCTGTACAGGCCACCTTGTAAAAACATGTAACTCTTCACAAGAGAGGTCTAACCAGAATGTGGCCTGTTAACATGAGCTAGCAAGGGGAAAAACCAAAAGTGCAAAATCCCCCTCCCAACCAAGCGCCATAAATTTCTGTGGAATCTGGCTTGATTGTCGAGAATGAAGGCAGTAAGGGATCAAAAGTCAATTCCTTATCGGAGAAGCTTTTCCTTTTAAGGTTATCAAGCGTGGAATCACATTCGGCCGAGCTCACTTTGCAGGCGATCGGTATGGCGTTAGCTCAGATAGCGGTCAAACTGCGAACATTGGAGTGAGTGGGGTTCCTAGTATGTAAAAATGTTGATTTTATGAGTAGCATTCTTTGGACTTTTGTTTTCAGGAATATTGACCCCTCTATCCGCTCTTCCCTGGTTTCTCAGTGTTGTGCTTTACTTGAAAACAGATGGTGTTCTTCCAGAGCAGCTTCTATAGTGAGCGCTGTGCCAGTGTGTTTAGGCCTCGTGACTCACTACTACCAGAATGTTTACGTTCTACAGGTTCGCTTTAGTCTTTGAGAAC